ACTTGTTAGTGAAAATAAAAGGCAAGTGCTATCATTGATCTAGACAGTCCCCCCCAGGCCATGTAGTGAAGGCTTGGTCCCCAGCCCATGACACAGTGGGAGGTAGTGGCGCTTTTGAGATGAGGCCTAGTGGGAGGTCTTGAGGTCATCTGGGGCATACCCCAGACGGGAATTGTGAGCCCTGGTCTCTTCCTCCCTTTTTTGCCTTCCTGCCATGAGGTGAGCATCTTTCAGTTCTTCCATGGGCCCCCTGCCAACATGTGCTACCTTGCACAAGCCCAGAAGCCCACTAACCATGGACTGAAACCTCCAAAACTCTGAGTCAAAATAAATCTTTCCTCTATATAAGTTGATTTATCTCAGGTGTTTGTCCCTTGGTGTCCCTAGGGGACTTGTTCCAGGGCTCTTCTCAGATCCTCATAATCCACAGATGCTAAAGTCCCTTATTTACATAAGGGTGTAGTATTTATCTATAACCTTTACACATCCTCCTGTATCCTTTAAATCATCTCTAGATTCTTTGTACAACTAACACTACATAAAATGTGATGTAAATTGTTGTTATACTGTATTGTTTATGGGTTAATGTTGAGAAAAAGCTGTACATGTTCAGTACAGACACAATTTTTTCCAAATATTTTCAATCCACAATGGGTTGAATTCATGGATACAGAATCCATGGATAAGCTTTCTGTTGTGTAAAAAAGAAAGAAAAATAAAAACATAGATATGTATTTGCTTATTGTTGTGGAAGGAAGAGAGGGATGGAGGGAGGGAGGAAAACAGACAGACACATGGAGAGGATAAACTACAAGAAGAGGTGGGAATGGATGCAGGAATCTGAATGTGAGTGTACCTTTTCATATTTTGTCTTTTTTCTTTTGTGGGGGGGCAGTACTGAGGGTTTGAACTCACTTGCTAGGAAGGTTCTCTATCACTTGAGCCACTCTGCCAGCATTGTTTTGTGTTGGGTATTTGTAAGATAGAATAGCAAAAACTATTTGCCAGGGCTGGCTTTCAACCATGATCCTCCTGATCTCTGCCTCCTGAGTAGCTAGGATTACGGAAGTGAGCCACCAGTTTCTGGCTCATTTTGACTTTTGAACTAGGTAAAGAATTTACATATACAAAAATAAACTAAAAATGGTAGAAACAACCCCTCAGTTGAATACAAGCAGAAACAAATGAACTTAATTGGACATTGAATTCATGATTTCCAGGGGGAAAAGTACTAATAAGTTTTGAATTCTCTCCCCTGTGCATCTATAGGGAATATAATTCTAAGGGGAGAAAGGAACCAAAAAGAAATCCCCAAACCTTATTTGGTGGTTTTGTTGTTAGTAGTGGCATCAGTTTAAAAGTTCTGAAACTATTGTTTGTGTTATGATATAGAAGAAACTCAGAAACATTGAAATTTGGGGGAATCAGGATTATTGGAGAAAAGGGAAAGTAAACAGGAAATAAAATACAGGTGAAGGCTGTGGTGCTGGACTTTGAGGCATCAGTGTGCCTAAGGCCCCTCTATATCAAATTTCTTAACTCTATTAACTGAAAGCCATTACACCCAGTGAGCACACCTGGTTCTTGGATCTTGATTGAGAAATATGATTCCCAACTGTGAGAGGCCAGGACTGCTTGAAGAAATTGCTGATTCTAGAGTTGGGGCAAGGAAAGTCAAAGGTCAACCTGGAGCATCCTGTACCAGCAAACAGGGAAGTGCTCAAAGAATCAAGAGACTGTGGCAAAAGACACAGAGCTATCTTCTTTCACCAAACTTTAGACACTTGGAGCATCGAAAAGAATTGACAATAAGGGATTATAACATTGAATTTTTTAAAACTCCATGAGTCCACAGTAACACTCAAAAACTGAAGAAGGCAAAGGAAAAGACCTTTATAGAAGAATACCTACTAATAAACATAGAAGAAACAATAATAGGATTTTTAAATCCTAATTGTCGACCCTGGTGTAATTACAGATTCAGTTGAAGATAATCAAGTGATAATCCTAAAGGTACTGGGTGAAAGGGTACTAGAGAAAAAGATACAGGGTCTCAGGAATAGCACCCAGAGTTATAATTGCCATGAGAAAGGGCACAATGAAACACCATCCCACCACAGTCCAACATGGCATGGGCAAACCCACTGTGTGCATCTCACCTGCTGCCACAGACACACCCAGCACCTCAGACAGGATTTGTGTCCAACACGGCTCACCTGATTCTATCTAACCAGGAGGAAACAAATAAATACAGACTGTACAACAGTCTACAAGGCAACTGGCTTGGGTTCTTCAAAAGAGTCCACTGGGAAACAGATAATAAAAAGGGAGGGCAATTCTAGATTGAAAGAAACTAAAGAGACATCACAACTAAATGCACTGTGCAGATTTTAACTCAGTCCTGGACATCCTAACAGCCACACCATGCATGTGGGAACAATTGGAGAAATCTGAATAGACTGAACAGTAGAAGAGTGGATGTGTAGCTTCTTAGGGTATGCTAATACATTGCTTGCATAGGAGAATGCTTTTATTCTTTTTTGTTTCCCTTTTATAGCTTTTGGCATATATTGAATTGTACATAGTAAGGGATTTCATCTTGGCATTTCCATACATAACCTATAATGTATAATGGACATATTCACCCTCTCTATTGCTTTTTCTTTCCCCCTTCTCCTTCCCCCTTTTCCTTTCCCCTTCCACCTTCCTAGTAGTCTACTTTTCATTTTCATGACCTCAGTTGTTTTGTTTTCCCTTAACTTCTGAAAACAAGAAAAAACATGTGACAGTTATGTTTGTGGGACTGGTTTATCTCACTTATCATGATCTCTAGCTCTATCCATTTCCAGCAAATGACATACTTTTTATTCTTCTTAACAGCTGAGTAAAACTCCATTGTGTGTATGTACCACATTTTCTTCATCCATTCATCTACCGATGGGCTCCTAGACTGATTCCACACTTTGGCTATTGTGAATAGTGTCATGATAAATGTGGGTGTGAAAGCATCTCCATAGTAAGCTGACTGATTCTTTTGGGTATATATATATAATCAGAAATGGGATGGCCAGGTCACATGCGAGGTCTATTCTTAAATTTTTTTTGAGGAACCTCTATATTGATTTCCATAGTGGGTACACTAATTTACATCCTACCAGCTATAAATAAGAGTTCCTTTTCCCCCACATCCTCACCAGCATTTGCTGTTATTTGTTTTCTTGAAGACAGACATTCTGAGGGCCACACTGGATACACTGAGGTAGCATCTCAGTGTAGCTTTGATTTGCACTTCTCTGATGGCTAAAGAGGTTGACCATTTTTTAATGTATTTATTAGATACTTGTACTTCTTCATTTGAAAAGTATCTTCAGTTTACTTACCCATCTATTATTTGGGTTGTTATTTGTTGTTTAATTTTTTGAGCTCTTTACATATTCTGAATATTAATCTCCTGTCAAATGAATACCTAGCAGATTTTGTCCCTTTCTGTAGGGTGTCTCTTCATTTTGGTAATTGTTTCCTTCACTGTGAGGAAGCTTTTTAATTTGATGCAATCACATTGGTCAATTTTGGATCTTATTTCCTGAGCTGTTGGAGTCCTATTCAGAAAGTCCTTGCCTGTGCTTTTACCTTTATTTTCCCTATATTGGAAAATTTTTTGAACTGAACTCCTAGATAAAATGAATAGTTCTGATGCTTTAGGACGCTGGATAGAAGAGGAATGTGGACCCCAGCTGGCAGGGTCATGAGGATGCCACTTCACACAGCACAGAGGGAAGCACAGAGCACGTGGAGGCAGGACTTAGATGCACAGATAACAGGACTTCCACGTTTCCTGCAAGGGCAACCAGATGGTGATGGCACTGCCACTTACTGAGGTGGGAAGTCCTAAGAAGGAGCCACTTTTTAGGGGCAGGGGAAGGAGATAAAATATTCAATATGGACATTCACAGATTCCCCAAAACATACCCAGGGCCTGAATCACAAACCCCTGATGTAGAAGGAGCACAGCACTTAGGACGAGGGAGGGGAAAGAGGGACTCTAGTGACAGAATGAAAAGAAGCAGTCACAGAAGCAGAGTAGGCTTAGCCACAGGAGATGGCTCAGACACCAAGCAGAGGGAGCAATGTGCAATGCTCCTGAGAGATCATGCAAGATGAGCAGTGATTAAGTGATCAATCACACTAGTGAATGATCAAGACAGACTTTGTAAAAACTATGGATTTTACCCCTACCTAGATAGCAGTGAAAAGCCAGATCAGCCTGTGAGATGAGGGAGGAGAAATGAGACCCTCCATAACACTGCTTTGCATCTCTGGCGCTACCCCCCAACCTCGCCTGGCCTACCATCCACCATTCTGCCTGCTTGGACCTTCTTGCCACTAGAGAGTTCAGCAACTATGCTGTCTTAGCTCCATTCATCCCAGGGGCTTTTTGTTGTCTGGAGCTTTCTAGAAAGGAGGCCTGCCTGAAGGGTTTTAATGTGCTCTTTAAAGGGACAGGAGACCTATTTGGTGTCCAAGCAAGTCCAAACACTAAGAGATAAGAGATTAAAGTTCTAAAAGCAAGTCCAAACCAAACTTGAAAAGTGAGAGATAAGAAAGCTCAGAAAAGACCACACGAAGTACATTCATCATTTGCCAGGAGCTGATCCCAAAGGCATGACAGCATAGCTAGGAGACGGAAAACGCAGGAATCACTTTGACCACCTCAAAGAGCACAACTGAGTCATCAGAATAAGTCAATCAGCTATCACCAGCTGGAGAAACTCAAAACCAGCCTTGGTTCTGCAGATTGGTAAAATGCCCCACCCCAAACTGATGCACCAAATCAGCATTTTCAGCTTTCTCTCAACTGAGTGCAGTCACATAGATGGGTCATAGTGGCAGAAAATAACGTGTTCTCTCACACTGGTCTCCTCCAGTTTCAGAATTCTGACCACTGCCACTGGGAAAGCTGAGCTTCCCATCACCCAACACATTTGCGAAACTTACTGGCTTTAACAAACTGTTCCCCAAACACCTGTGCTGTGTGTGCTCCTCTAGCCAGAACGTACTATATCATGTTCTGAAAGAGCTTCTAGGCTATCCCTTGCTTGAAAAATACCCATCAGCTGTTAAAAAAGTGAAAACCCATCTTGACACTGGTAAAACATTAGTATCCAGGAAACACACAAGCCCATTTGGTCAGATTTAATAAGCGTTAGCAAAATCCAGGTGAAGAACTCTATCTGGAAAAACAGAAGAATCTTAGAAGCAACTCCAATAAATAATTCTCTCAGGAAAAGAAAAAGAGATGTAAAACCATCCATCTCCATGGCAGACAACACGGAATCATATTCCACAAGTGGGGAGTTTTGGTGTAACACCAATTAAAAATGATGGTTTCCAATAAGACCTGTTGAAACTATTCCAGAATGTGGGGGAGAGAGGATAAAGGACAATGATTGAAGGGGTGAACTCAACTATGATATATTGTAAGAACTTTTGTAAATGTTACCAGGTACCCCCAGTACAACAATATAACAAAAAAAAAAAGAAGAAGAAGAAGAAAATGGTGGTTTCCAAATGTCTTGAGATTATGATATGTTCTTGCACGTCTTCCCATACCTGGAACCCTCATGCTCTGTCTTAGAGGTAAGTGAAGTTTGAGATTCATTAACTTTCATAATCCCTCATCCCCCCACCCAAAGACTACAGACAAGAACATCATGAAACCAACTTCAAATATCTCTAGTCTGTATTATTCTGAAGGTGAGACATAGGGGACACCATTCTTAACACTTCAGGCCAGTTGTTCCTCAGCCCGGCAGGATCTGCTGTATTTCGTGTGTGGAGGTGCAAGTATGCAACTCAGGAGCACGCCATTCACCATGGGTGAGTACTCAGTCACATACAGACAAGCTTTTTATAGAGCCTGGTGTGCCCACATTGGCTTTAGAGTTGAAACCCTACACTGTAGTATGTGGTCTCTGCTAATAATAGGGCTCGTCTTCCCAGTCCTACAAGCAACAAGAGAGCTAGGAAGGGAATGATTCCCACTATAGGAGAATCCAAAAGATGGGGCAGCCCTGCAACCTAAGCAAACAGATCTCCTGAGAGGGGTGCTCACCCACCTGCAGGCTTAGCACAGCCCCTCTGGCCCCTCAAGGACTTTCTGCCCTCCAACACCCAACCCAAGGGACTGCTGGTGTGAGCCTATTGCATAAAATGAAGGTTCACATCAACTCCTTAAAGGGACATTTTAGAGGTTCACAGCTAAAATACAAGTCCATTATAAATTACTCTTGAGTAAGAATATGCTGATGGCTACAGCTTTATAAAGATTTTTCTTTTAAAATCCTGCTGTGAAATTAAACCAGTACTCCTTAATGGGCTTGCATCAGGGGTTAGGGTGTGGCTCAGTGGCACTGAAAAAAAAAAGAAAGAACACCTCAAAACCTTCCATCTGGGGCCACCTTTTATCACAATACATTGTTAACATCCAAGGGACAGATCTGCAAGGGAGGACTTTCCAGAGATGGGGAGTGACAGACAAGTTGGGAGACATTTAGAAAATGTCATTTTCATCTTCCCAGACAAGTGGTTTAAATACAGTTATGGTATAATTTAAGTAGATCTTCATTTGAAAATATGCAGTCTCTTCTTCACAAAACCCATATCTCCCAGTCATAACAAATCCCAAGCAAAATTTGACACATACTTCTATGTTCAGACTGGTCAATGGTTCGGATGGAAATACTTTTTATAAATACCTACAACAAATCCCCTAAAAAAGATGTAATTAAAAACTGAGCACAAGGGGCCTCTCTTTCACCTAAAATGTTAAATTCCAGAAAGCCTATTCTTAGCTGAGCATTCATGGGGCCTCCTGGGAAGAGCAGGAGCCCTTTAGGATCTAGGTGAGAGCCTTCCCATCCTCCTCAACAGAGTAGAGGTGACTTGAAGGTCATCTGCGGCCCAGGACTTGGGTGTGATAAAACTGTTTCATCCCCAGCCTTGTCTTCTTTGTCAAGCTGCTGATTAAGCCTTCTCGTTTCCTGGCCAAGGCCCAGAGGGAGGGAGGAAAGGGACCTACAATAGTGTGAGAAAGTAAAAAACTCTGGGTATTTTGATTAAAAAAAAAAAAAAAAACACTTGGTAATCAATGGAACCCCATCAAGCCAATGTATCAAATCCACCAGAGGGAAAATTATAATTTAGCATTCAGAAGCTACACAGACAAGCATTTTCTTCAGGAAGATCATTACTTAGCACCAATTTCTCTCTCTCTGGGAGTTTTTCCTTGTCCTTCAAACCCTTGGCTGTGACAGTGCTGCTTGGGCTCAGTCAGCTGTACTTTAATCTGTAACACAGCTGGGTGTGGGGGCACCCAGCCACACATCACAGGCCACACAGCGAGCTCGCACCAGAGGCAACTCTTCTTGGGGGATCACCCTGCCAGGAGAACACAAGCAGCCTCACAGTCTCCTCCTGGGCTCTCCAGACCCAAGATCTTTACTCAAAGCGACGCAGGTGGTTGTACAGCGACTGGACGTAGGTGAAGACGCACATGGGGTCTGGCTTGCGGCCCATCACCATCATGTCCTCCACCTCAATGAGGCGCTCGCAGTTGGCAAGATTCCTGAAACACAGAAGTGCCCATCAGAACAAAGTCCTACTGCCACAGAGTCATCATCACCGAGCCCAAAACAGAATTTCGCCTGCAGCTGGAGGCATTCAGTGTGCACCAACAAGGAGTTCAAATAACCCAAGAGAGCTTCCCGAGTTTCTCAGTTTATGCAGTGTTCCCAAAAGTCCCACGTTGGTGAACCACCTACACAATTCATATTTTGATTTAAATAGACTTAATAAACTTTAAGTGAAATGTAGACTAGTATATGAAAAAGCATCATGAACTATAAAAATAAATGTAAACCTAAAGCAAAAAAACCAAATTTATCCATTTACCTTCTGAAACAGTATTTTTAAACTTATTTTTACACGGTATTTTTCATCATGATTCAGTACACACATGTATGTGCAAGTGGCCCTCTGTAACCAAGGGTTCCACACCTGAGGTCTTGATTTTCTTTAATATTTTGGATTGAAAATACAAAAGGAAAAAAATTCATCTGTTCTGAACATGTATAGACTTCTTTTTCTTCTCATTATTCCCAAACCATATAGGATACAACTGTTTTCATGGAAGTTGCATTGAATTGGGTATGTCACTACCATGCCTGGTGGATTATACCTGTAATCCTAGCTCTCGGGGGCAGAGACAGGAGGATAGCGAGTTCAAGGCCAGCATGGGCTACATTATGAGATCCTGTCTCAAAAAATCAAACAAGTAAATAACCCAGAGATAATTTAAAGTACACAGGAGGATATGAGGTTACATGCAAAATTAGGTCATTTTATACAAAGGACTTGACCATCTGTGGATTTTGGTTTCCACGGGGCAGAGTGAGATAGAGGGGTGGGGTGTCCCAGAACCAATCTCTTTCAGACACTGAGGGATGACTCAATCTATGTGGAAATAAACTTTCACAGCAATTCTTATCTTCACTACTGTCAATATTTTCTCTATAATTCATATTTCTTTCTTTCTCCTCCCTCGTATAACTGCTAGTCATGAACCACTAGATTGATTGTACAAAATACTAATGGGTCACAACTGGCAATTTAAAAACTTGCTCAAAATCAGCCAGGTGCCAGTGGCTCATGCCTGAAATCCTAGCTATTCAGGAGGCAGAGATCAGGAGGATCACAGTTCAAAGCCAGCCCAGGCAAGTAATTCATGAGACATGATCTCAAAAAAAACCTAACATGATAAAAGGACTGGGGGAGTGGCTTGAGGTGGAGGCCCTGAGTTCAAACCCCAGTACCACAAAAAAAAAAAAAATTACTCAAAATCATCTTGTCACCCCACCTCCAGTGCCACCCCCAGAGGCCTGGGCTTCCTGCCCTAGGAAATATTAGTTTAACTTTCAGCCCCTGGTGTAGACTCAAGTGTAAACTGTGGCCTTTCACTGGGGCTCAGACGGAGGCTGAGGGCCTCCAGAAGGTAGGAAGATGAACACCAACCATCAAGACACCTAGCCCTGTGCATCACGGCTTTCAGTCCTAAAGTAATACCAGACATCCCCTTCGATGCCAAGCACTGCCCCCACCACACCCTGACTCTGGTCACAGTGTCCTGGGTCTCCTGGGCACCAGATGTAGACGGCCTGTTGTTGGGCAGAAGCCAAAGCACAGAAATGACTGTCACTGGGTCCACTTGTCAGTGCCCTTCCTTTTGCAGCTGTGTCTGCTGTTGTAGTTCTAGGCATCTTTTGTCTTTTTCCCTCACAGTCAATAAGTGCATAACTGTCAGGGCTCAAATCCCAGCTCCATATCTCACTAACTCTATGACTTAGGACAACACACTTAACTGCTCCAGGCCTCAGTTTCCCCATCTGGAATAACATCCATCTCACAGAATAGTATGAATGATAAGGGGATTAATGAACAAATAAATCCATTGAAACAGTGCCTGGCATGTCAAAAGAGTTCCCTACACTGAGGAATTGTTACTATTGCTGTATTTATTATCACTCCTCCCTTTAAGAAGCAGGAGGGATCACGGGAAAAGAGCCTAAACGTGAAATTTCAACAGCTGGGCTCAGCTCATGATGCTGCCAATCACTTCGCCTTTCTGGACCTGTTTCCTGGGCAGAAAATCAGAATGCATCTCTGCTCTCTTTCTGTGCATCCCAGGGTGTCCTTATGCACCTGGCTCTCCAATGAGTCCAGCCAGAGGGGAGACCCAGCTAGCAGGCCACCTTGGACCCCACCCAGAGCTTGAAGACAGTTCAGCATGACTCACACCCAGCCTTTCTACCAGCACATGGCATGCGGCAGCTCCCCAGCCTGTGTACTCCTGAGACAAAGCCTGCAACATTACCGACCGGCCCTGCTCTGTGGTGCTGGCCAGGTGCCAGGCCTCCTATCAGAAACCAAATGTCAAGGGAAAATGGAGATATCTGTCCTGATTCTGTCCCCGCCTTCTCCTTGGGGTTGGATCAGGCAGCCTGTAAGGGAACCCAGAGGTTCTATGGGGTGAGAAGGCACTTGGCTCAATGAGTAGGCACCCTCTCTCCTCAGGACAGGACAGGGTAGGCTCGGTGTCAAGGAAGTCAGCCCTGTGACCATGGTAGGCACGCAAAGGTGCCTTGTGGCCAAGACTTGTAAAATCTTGAGTTCTTTAGAGGCCAGAGGCTCAAGTTCACCTTCCAGAGCCATCACTTGTCATCTGGTACCCTCCTCACCCACCTCACAGGGAGAGCCCCTTCTCCCTCCCTTCCTTCTCTCTCAGGTCTGCTCCTCAGAGGACCCCAGGTATGTGAGAACAGGCTCTGCAGAAGGCCAGGGTATCAACATTGACAGTGGTGGCCTCAGTAGTCCCCCACATTAAATGAGGACAGTACTAGAACCTCAGCCTTGGAAGAGAACTCAAACGTCACCCCATCCAAATATCCAAATAGAAGGCCCACCATCTCTGTAAAGGCCCTGCCTCAGCTTGCTTACCTCCAGGTCCAGGGAAAAACACGTAACCAGCCCTCCAAGGACCATTCCAACCCCTCTGCAGAAGGCTCTGGCCTCAAGAAAGCTGCTTCTCATGTTGCTTCTACTATTTTTCCTCTGGACTTTCTACTTATTGTTCCCACAAGAGAATCTTCATGTCATGTCTTTCCCTAAAATGAAATCTCTCTGGTTCCTTTATCATTTCCCCGAAGGGTACTAAGGACTCTCTCCTCTGAACTCATTCTGGTTTCTCTCTAGCCCATGTCACGGAGGCACTCAGAATTGCCAACATTTTCCAAGTGCTGTCTGACCTGGGCAGTGGAGAGTGAATGGACACCCCCCTTCATTCTAGAGGTGGCATCTACTCTCCAACCAATGCTCCCCTGCCCTGTCCAGGCAGCAAATCCTCTAGATCAGGGTGGCTATCAGGATGGGAATGAAGGCCTCACCCTAGCATTACCCTCTGCTGCCAACAGCAAGCCATGGGCAAGGTGCTGGCTTTCCTGGCAGGCAGTCAGGGCACTGGACTGCAATCCATCTGGTCCCCATCCTAGCCCACTGTTGAAGTTGAGCAGTGGGGATCCCTAAGAAGGCAGATCACAGCATACAATGTGCAGCCATCATCTCTCAGGTCCCCCTCCCTTTTTTTTTTAACCTTTTCACCTTCTTTTTTATCAAATCACTTGCTCTTTTCTTGGGCTCATCTGTGAGTCGCCTCTAGGGTATAAATAAAGTTAGAGCATCTCTTCCTAAAGAAAGACAGACTGCAAGAGCTGGCGTGCATCAAAGGGCTTTAAGGCAGTTTTTGCTTGCTTCGTTTCAGAGAATAACCTTTCTGCAATATTTGTATTAATTTCAAATAAATTTCTTACAGATTATATAATCAATTAGTTGATGTAAAACCACAAAAGGAGGAGAAAGCAAAACAAGAAGCTTATGCCCAAACAGAACAAGGGCAAAAGAATTTCGCAAAGTGAGCAGGATGCCCTTTCAGTTGTTCCTGCCTAAACCACTGAAATGGCTAAGTATGAAGACCCTCTTTCCTTTCCCTGTACCACCTCTGCTCCTCACCCACGTTTTCCCTTAGAAAGCCCCAAATCCTCCATCTCACAGGTAGAATGGTGCCTCTGGCTTTGAGGCCATTGCATGGCCTACAGCAGACCCTCAAGGGCACTTGCCTTCTAGCCCAACTCATCCCTGCAGACAGCATGCTCCCTCAGAGACATGCTGGAGCCAGCAGCAGTGGTGACAAGATTCCTAGACCCTGCCAGCACAGGCCAAACAGAACTTGGGAGACATGATAGGAGAGAAGTGCTAGCCACCACTGACTTTTACTAAAATATTTCAGTCTCAAAACAGTGACAACTTAATTGTCTTTTACATTTTAAAAAACTGCTTTTGTAAAAATGACCCCAGCTTGTTTTATGGTGATGGTACTGGGGTTTGAACTCAGGGCCTTGCATTTGCCATTTGAGCCATGTCCCCAGCCAAGTTTGTTTTAAATAATTCAAACTAATGGAAAAATCCAAAGGAGAAAGTACAAATCACTTCAAATGCCACCACTCAGCTAGAATCAGGGGTAGCAAGAGCCTACTGTCATGAACTTAAAAGTTTTTCTCCTGCTCCCATTTATTGTCTGGCTTTGGACTGTCCTGTAAGGGGCAAGCATGGAAGAGGAGTTGGGGGTTATTTTTATTTTTTTAAGTCTGCTCTAAATGTGGATCAGGATGCCAGGGCTTGGACTGCTGCCTCCCATCTGGTTTTAGACAGAGACACATGGGAACTACAAATAGCCGTTGAGCCCCTTTTGCTGGGGGTAACCCGAGAGCAGGACACATTCCATGCAGGGCAAGCGGGAAGCCTTGGGCCACACGTCCTATGCTCTGCTCTGTGAGGAGGTGGGGAGGAAAAGTGTGGGCAGGCCAGGCACCCACCCAACTCAGCCCCATCCATAAAAGGGACTGGTGTACCATCGTTCCAGGCCCTGAACACCTGTCAGGCAAGGGAAGCTCACTGTGCTGTCAACACGGCATCACTCACACAGATTAGGCCACAAGGAATCTCAAAGCCCAGAAATTATGGGGGGATGGGCAGCACACACTACTTTTTACTCCAAAGCTTCCTGATGTATCTTTGTGCCTCAAAGGCACTTTCTCACAGAAGGTTCTGGAAACATCTCCTTTCTGATGCCAGCTGGATGCATGGTTTGCAAACCCTATGTCCTCTTTCCACTTCCAAAGACCCCCAGCTCCTCTCATCACACACTGCCTGCTCCCAAAAGTTCCTTAGCTTTGTCTTCTGCCTGCACTGGCTCTTGATGGCTTCAATAACCCATGTGTCAGCTGAGATGGTGTTAGCAGACCATCTCATTGACATGCCCGTGTCCTTAAGCAGGTGTCCCTGTGCTTTCTTGCAGCTTTCTAAACAGCCTACTGTCCAAAAAACTAGGGGATCCAGGAGGCTGACCCCCAAGAGGCCCCAGGGAGGCCAGCCTGTCTCCCCAGCCCTCTTCCACACGTACCTGTGTGGTAACTTCATGGATGACTCATAAGGGGAGGTATCAGCCCAGGCTCTGCACAAGCTCCCCACACAGGCCAGCCCCTCCCCACCATCTGGAGTCAGCAGAAAAGCCAGAATGCATCCCAGAGGTCCTGTCGTGCCCTCCTCCCCTCACCAGCCAAAACCAAGCTCAGGCCACAGAGAGGCAGGGCCAAGGTTTTCACTCTGCTGTTTGCTCTGGAAAGGAAAGAGGCAAAGCCTGAACCAGTCCTCACTATGCCCCCCACCCCCAGGTTGGGAATAGAAGAAACATCTGTTTGGAGTCTGGAGGCTTTGTGAACGCAAGCCTCATGCTGGAAAAGCACGGTCCGGAATCACTCTGGCTCTGACTGCCTAGGGAAGCTATGTTCCCTGTAAACTGGAGCACAAGGACACCACTCCATGGCCCTGCTACAACTGAGCTTGGTCCAGGGCTGAGGGTGACCAAGGTGGCCACACATGAGTTGGCACTGGGCCAAGGCCCACTGACTCAGACAGTGAAAAACTATGTAAGCCAAACATGGCCTCCCCCAGCAGGGGTGGGTCTGGGGTGCCCACGTGGGAGCCCTGATCCCACATATTTTAACAATCTGATTTTGGGCAGTCACCATTCCTGAGATTCAAGCAGCTGGGCCTCCTCCTGTGAGCCATCCCCTCCCCATGTCAGGCCGTGACATTTGGCAAGGCTCCATCATCGTCTGCATCCAGTTGCGTAACACACTTATCCAAAGCTGTTTCTGCCATTAGGATGACAACTGATCCCAAGAGGCCAAGAAAGGCTTTTAAAGTATACAGAGGCGTTCTTATGACTCCAAGGGAACAGAAAGTCTGAGTGCATTACCAGAGACAACACAACAGATGGGTACTGGTATGCCAAAACTTCAGAACCAGAGGCCCAGTTCTGCCCCTAGAGCGAGTGCTGCTGCCCTAGAGAGGGCTGGCCACTTGGCTCAGGCAGGCTTGCAATACCAAGCACAGGTTAGTTATGAGACCGTTGGCTGCACTCGTTCTCTGGTCAAATTTGGAGCCTGGAAAAGGAGGTGGAGCTGGGCGGATGGGCCAGGAATGTAGTGAAGAGGGCAGGAGGAGTGCTGTGTGACCCTAGAAAAAGCCCTCACCAGGCCTCAGTCTTCCCATCTGTATAAGAAGACAGACCAGAAGGCCTCAGGATCCCCCCAGCTCTCAGGAAAGCTGCCCCATGACCTGACCAGCCCCAGACCCCATCAGGAGCAGAAATTGGGCCCTGAGTCTGGGCTAAAGCTAGAAGCCAGCAGGACCTGCCACACTTACTCAGCCATAGTGAAGGCCAGTTCGAAGTTCTTCTGTCGCTGTGTGGGGCTCAGGGCATTGTAGTCAAATGCATCAGGGAAGAAGGAGTGCACCAGGGCGCAGAAGGCCATCCCGTCACTCCAGCTGGAGGAGAAGTTCTGCAGGTCCACGTGCTGCAAGGAGCAGAGGAATGGTGTTACCCCGCTCCCTGCACCCCATGGAGCCTCATGAGCATACTCTCCCAAGCTCTCCCCAAGGCCCACCATCACCCTGTTCAGCAATAATCACTGCCAGACTTTACCCCCCTAAGGTGACTATAGTCTGCTCAGGCCAGATCCCAACTCCTGGAACTTCTAAGCACATGCTGCAAGCATGCAGGTGCCCACTCCCTCAGAAGGCAGGAGTTCTCTGGCTGCTACTCTTCCCTCCAGCCTGAGCAAGCTCTGGCCCTGCCAAGAGGGCAAGGCCAGGGGTGGTGCCTGCTCTGCCTCAGGCCTGGCTCACCTGGTATCCCAGGGTCTTGCTGCGGCACCACTCAAGCAGGATCTGCTTTATGCTGCTGGCGCTGGCCACACCGAAGCTCTGTGACCGCTTCAACTTGGCTCGGGTCTCACCTTTGCTCCTGTGGAGAGAGGGCAGGCCTGCTGTGGGGGGGCATGGGGGACATTCCTACCCCACCTGGTCTACTCCCTGGGAAGACACTGGGTTAGTACACAGCACATGTTCCACAGCCACGGCCACAGCACAGCCACACATACCAGCCATACAGATCTTTGGATGATGTGTGGCAGGACCACCCGCCCCTTCCTACCATCCAGGACCCCCATGTAATTTCCACAGCAGGAAGCAGGGGTCACCAAATAATCTTGAGACAGAGGAACGGAGTCGGCATGGCCCCAAGCCCCTGCCCTCTGTCTGGACCACCTCCTCTTCTCTTCACCTTACCCTCTTTCTGAGCCTCCCTCCGATGGAAGCCTCCTTCCTGATGGCACTTTCCTAGCCATGAGAAAGAGTCTCCTCTGGGCCCAAGGAGACTCTCTAAGAACCAAGGTTAGGTTATTGGGTCGGGGGGAGCTTCCTGGGTCTGACTTCCTCACTAGACTGGAGTAGGGACTGGCTGTCATCCATCATCATACAAGCCTGGACCACACTGCACACAGTAGGTGTCAATACCATGCACTAACAAGAAGGCTGGATAAATATGCAAAGACAGGCCATAAGCCCAAGAAACCAATCTCTAACAGGACATGGTATTGGCCAGTAGGCCCCAGGCTCCGCTGTGTCACCTCCCAGCTCCAGCCAGGAACCTCAACCCCTTGCAGGACTCTCCAGTCACATCCAGAAAGGAAAGGTTTAAGCGTGGCTTGGGAGCACTGAAGACCCCTCCCCTTGGGGAGCAGAAGACCCCTCAGAATGGAAGGGAGGAGCCCTCACCAGACCTGACCTGCCCCACAGTCCTCTGCTCCCCATAAATGTGACCCCTAACTCCCCAACCCAGCCTGTAAAACAGTCCTGACCTTGAACTCTACCCAAGAGGTCTGATCTAGGGAATGGTCCTTTGAGGAACAGGACAGGGCTCAGCTTTGCTATGCTGTGCCCACCTGATCCCAGTCTGGGTAGGGCCTACTCTGGTGGGCCAGCCGGGCCTGGTCTGGAAGCAGGTGTTCATACTTGCCCGCTGTGTCCTGCTCCCACTTCTCAAACAATGCCTTCCGGGCCTGGGCTCCCGAGGTGCGGGGCAGTGTCTGCGACCTCACCAGCTCCCTGCGACGCTCCCCCTGGTGAGGGGCCTGAGTTGTGACTGGCAGCTGTGGGGATGGGGGTGACTGGGGTGGTGTCACCAAGGGTGGGCTGAGGAGAGAAGCACTGAGTCAGACACAGATCTAGTCACTGTCTCCCCTAAGACCAAGGTTGAGCCCAGCACTGAGCGTGAGGGAGACAAACATCCTGCACACGACAGGCTGGCAGAAGACTGGTGGCCAGAAAGCAAGCCCCACCTGCACAGTCCCCAACTGGCTTGGCAGGTTTTCTAACTGGAGCTGCTATCTGCAGCATGCCTGGCCAGCAGGCCCAGCTAGGAGAGAGAATGGGCCCCAACTCTGTGCATAACCACCGCTTGGCAGGTGTCAGTGCCTGGGGAGGACAGGAGACACTCTCCTCAAGCAGGAGGTGTTCCCAGAGCCAGTCACCAGAACCAGCCCCCCCCTCCCCCTCCCCCACCACTAGATAAGACCCCCTTTGTTCTTCCTCTGGAACAATCTGCCAGGAAGTCACAATTCTCCTTTTATTATTAAAAGAAAAAAAAAAAAGCCAAGCTTGCCACCCCATCCTCAGTTTCAACCACAGTCCAGTGGACCTGGGGGAGCAACAAGGGCCCCCACAGGCCTGAAGGAGGCCTGCACCACAGTGAAGCCCCTCCTGCCTGCACCAGGCACCTGATCAGCTCATGGCAAAAAGTATCCAGCTCTGTGGGATCCCAGCCAGTCCATCCACCTTCTTCCCGTGGAGGCACAGACCCCTGCAACCTATTAACTGACTTGCTTCAGAGGTCCACAAAGAAGCCAAACTGCAGCTACACTTCTCCAAACAACACCCTCCAGAAACCCCATCCACCTCACTTCTCCTGATCATACCCACCTGCCAACAGCTGCCCAAGTTCTGCAGAGCACCCACCCCAGGACAGTCAGCACAAGCATCTCCCTGAAGGTGACCTGGGCATCTGGGTCCCAGAAGAAGCAGAGAAGCCACCTGGGGAGCAACTGACTCACCTGTCCTTGCATTTGCCTGCTGTCACTGCCCCATACCCAGAGCTCGACAAAGACCTCGTGAAACATGAATTCTTTTCTGCAGGACAAAGAGAAGACACAAATAACTAACCTGGCCTCAGCCTCCCTTCCTCTGACTCATCCCTGTACCATTTACCTGGCATATCTTTCTGTGGACCAGCAAGAACCCAGCTGGCCCTACCTCAGCAAAGCCAAGAAGAAAGGGTAGGAAAATAGAGCAGTGACATCAAAGAGGTCTCTTAAACTTTTCCAACCCTCCCCTGAGGGCACAGAGCCTTCTGTACTATGTGACCAGCAAACACTCCCCAAACTCTCCTTCAGAAGCCCATGTGGCCCCAGCCTAGGACACACTCCTGGGGCCTGACCACAGGCCCAAGTCAGACCTAGGGGAATTGGAGGGGGGTGGGACTGTGCCAAATGTGCAGGTTGACCATGGCCTTGACTTGTCATAAAAGCTGTGGCTGTCCCCTACAGGGGTAATGCTGTTCCATGGCATCTCTGGCAAGGGCAGGCCCCCTTTGATACAGCAGAAGTAGGCGGAGGCCTGGCCTGGGTCTTCTGAGTCCCGCCCCCAGCCCTCTCTTTTCCACGGCACAGATGGGGCTGGTACCCACATCATACTCTCCTGCTCCTACCAGTGGGACTAGGAGTCCATGGGGTGGTGGCCTCACTGGGGCTTGGGCTGAAGCCCCCTAGGATGGCAGCAGATGTAGGCGACAGAGCTGCAGCTGAGGTCTCCCCAGAGAACTTCTCAGAGACTCGGGTGACAGCTGTGACTGGCTGGTGTGGCAGCCTCAAGGAGAGGCTCACAGGGCGAGGTCTAGAAGGCTGTGGTGCTGAGGTTTGGGCTGCCTCAGAGGATCCATCACCTGGACCTGGAACATGTGACCAGCTGAGTGAGTGGGTCAGCTGTGCCATCCACAGGGGCCTAAGACCCCCCACCCCCCAGGATCTAGTCTTCCTGAGCCCAGTCTCCCTACCTCCTGCCTTACTGGGGATGTCTTGCTTCTCCAACAAGAGTTGATTCTTCCCAACCTTCCCTTATAGGCAGCTGAAATAAATACTAACTGACTAGGTACTTTACCTTCTTCAATATTTGGACAATTCCTTGGCTGGGGAAGCTCATTTTCCTCTGGGTAGAAAGTTCTACACATTGAATGAGGTTGCTCTCCTGGCAGCCTCTCTGCCCAAGAGATGGCTGGCACAGAAGACTGGTCAAGGCCTTGACCCCCAAAGCTACCCAGCCACCTCCCTTCTGCCCTTGGCCCTTACCTGCACCAGGCAGGTGTCCGTTTTCAGTGACACACGAGTTTGAGGTTCGTCTTGTTTCTGGCTCACTGGCTTCGTCATGATCCATGCTCTGCAGAGACACCATCACAACCATTAGCTGGGCCCAGCTTCCCAACCTGAAGCCAATTCCAAAGCCCCTCCTGGTTTCTGGCAAGACAAATCTCTCTCATTTTGAGAGAAAATAGCCCCCAGGAGGTAGAGTGGTGAGCCAAGGTCAAGAGCAAGCTGGGACAAACCCAACCCAGAACAGAGCCTCTACCAGCCTGAGAGGCAAACACTGAGCTCATCCCAGAACCCAAAAAAAGATGATGGTTCTGAAACAGTGTTAGGTGGCTCTGTCCCTCCCCTCAGGCTGGACCAGACGATGGGTCAGGACAGCCTGGTTCCCGCTCCTCCCAACTGGACCTGGCTGACATTCTGCCATGTTGGAGCAGCAGCAACAGGAAGGTACAAAGTTCCTGAGGGTCAAAGAGGGATAAGGAGCCCCTCACACCAAAGACTTTCTAATTGCATGCTGGGACACAAGATTTCCTCCAGCATGCAAAATGGAGGGGCCTAGCTGGCTTTGTGCCACCCTCCATCCTCCCTGGGCTGCAGCAAGGGGTAGGGCCAGCAGGAGACAGGCAGAGAGCAAAGACCACAGAGAGCAAGATCCTGACTGAGCTGCCAACCCACCATGTGACCTAAGCCACATCATGTTCCCTCTGGGTCTCAGCTTGAGTAACGCAGGAGGCCATGCAAGCACCATTTGGGCATCTCCCAAACATCAGGTTCATCTCACAGATGGGACCCAGGGGCTCAGAGAGAAGACGTGCACTGCCCAGGGTGTCCAGTGAAACACAGCTGGGATCTAGGTCAGGAGGAATCCTCCTCCTCCTCCTCTCCCTGAATCCTGCCCCTCCCAATGAGGGTGTGGCAGGTTCAGAATGTCTGTGGGATTTAAGGGGTGTTAGCATGGCAAGAGGGGACAGAAGCAGACCCTAACCAGGAACTCTGGCAGGAACCAATGCTGAGTGGCTTGACAGGTTGGCTGTGCGTCTCCCTAGATGCCCCCAGGGTGTTTCCCTGATCTATTTGCTTCCCAGACAACAGTTCATTCCAGCCCCAGATGGCTCGGGTCCACCCTGCCTCAGGGGAAACCAGATTGGTGGGTGCACAGACGGTGCCAGGCTAGCATGATAACACCTAAGAAAGACTTTAGCCTATATAGGCAGGAAGGGCACTCTAGAGATAAGGTACCTGATCTGCATCCAGAATGAGCCAGGTACCCACAGAGGGAAGACCACTCCCAAAAGAGTGACTGTCAGGCACAAAAGCAGAGACATGAAGACATAGGCATTGTGACCCTGCATGATCCTACAGCCCATGCTGGCTGCCTAGAGTACTTGGACTTAGATAAGAAGGTGCCTACAGTGTGTTTAGGCACACCCTTCAGAAACCAGCGAGAGTAGCAGGAACGGAGAAGGCAAGGAGACTCCTTAGTACCTGGAGGAAAACTGGGGAGGGAGTATGGGTCAAAGATGTGGGAAGGCCAAAGGCAAGAACTCAAAACTCTGGGGAAGAAGGCATCTGACTCAGTGAGTGGATGAGGTGGGAGGAAGGTGCCCAGTTTCTCCCAAGTCCAAGCTTGGGGCCTGAGTGACTGGGAAGGTTTGGGGGAGAAGCGAGGACATACAGTTTAGACAAGATGGGTGTAAGGGGCTTCTAGGGCCTGAAAGAATTGAGGAGGTAGCTGGTTTTGTTAGCATGAAGTGTAAAGAAAAGGAGGGTGGATGTTGGGGAAACAGTCCTGCCTGTGCAGGCTCTGGCAGCCCACAGAGTGAGGGCCAACATGGAGTGGGGGCTAGGATGAGACCCCACACGTCAGGAAGCAGAAGAGGTGTCTGCATCTGCAAGGAGACTAGAAGGAACAGCAAGGGAGGTGGGAAGAAACCCAGCAGGAGGTTGAGAAAGTCAGGGAAAGAAACAACAAGAAGGCTAGCACATCCAAAGGTAACCTGAGGTCAAGGATGAGAAGATCAAGATAGGATGGAAGACACGTCCATTGCGTTTAGCCAAGAGATCACTGGTGATGGATGAAAAAACAAAACCAGAGAAATTGGGGCAGGACGGCCTGGACTGCAGGGGCTTCTCCAGCTGCCTGCATCTTGGCCAAGCAAGAAGAGCTAGAGATGGCGTTTGAGGGGTTTTTCCAGATGGAAGAAGCAAAACCACACTGACAGGCTGAGAGAAAGGTTCCATCAGCAGGGTGGGTCCCTAGGAAGCTGACAGAGGACAGGACCCATACCTGCGAAGAGTCTGGCTTTAGAGAGGAGGCAGCCCTCAACTTCTGTCTCAGGAGGGTGGAGGAGAGAAGCCAGGCCCACCCATAGGACAGCAGGACCACGGGAAAGGGGTATGGCGTCCCATACTCCAGAGCAGGGAGGGCACCTCTGGAGACCTGATGCCCAGTCAACAGCTAGAGGAGAACCAGCCAGTCCCAGTCACCAGAGCCAACTCAGCTCTAGGGTCCCCTTGTCCCCCCACCCACCCCATTCTTGTCCAACAGGTTCTACAGGTCCAGCCTCCAGGGACAGGCTGATGGCGAAATCATTTTCCCAGGAATGTAGGTGTCTGTGGGGGGCCCCCCAAGACACCTGTTCCCGCATGTTACAGACCTTGCACCCCCACCCCATGATGCCCCAGGGGAGCAGACAGGAAGTAGGTTCTGCACCTCTGTATCAGCAGATTCCTGCTAAGGGGTCTGAGGTAAGGAAAGAGGGGAAGGGGCTGAGCTAACTTGGACTGGGAGGTCAGCAGGTACTGGGGCCTGGAACTGAGCCCAGACTCCCACGTTCCCCATGCCCCTCACTCTTCCAGCCCCAGCCTATAACCACCTCTCATCTGGAGAAAGGGCTCTGTCCATACCTCAGGCTGAGACCACCCTGAGCCCATCACCACATAGACAGGAAACCAAGTTAGAGGCTGAGGGCAGAGGTCCCTCAAACTTACACTGTGGCTAAAGGCAGTAATCAAATCACAGTGTGGGTCTGGTTTCCTCTCAACCCAGGGCTCTGTCCACAAAGTGCTCTGACCTTCCAGAGGGCAGAGAAGACTACTCACGACAAACATGTCTCCTGGGGGCCAGGTTCAGGAAAAGCCCTGGCCCCACCAGGTCTGCCTTAAGCCAGTGAGCGTGAAGAAAAGTATAAGACTGTGGTTAGCCCTGTGGAACCTTCACAGAACACAGAGCCCCCAAGCCTGGCTGGGCTACAGCAAGCTGTTGTCCCAGACAAAAGTCCAGCCCAGGAGACCCCAGACATGCTCCTCAGTGGGCCACAGCCTGGGAGGGACTCTGGGAGGCCTGGGGCAGAAATCACCAAAGAGCCATGGGGCTAGAGAAGCCATGGGGCTGGCACTCCCACAATTCTTCATCTCCACTTTGTTTTGGGAAGGGGAGGTGCCCCGGGAGGAAGCCAGGCCTAGGAACTCAGGGGAAGAGGCAGGGGACAAGATAAGTCTGATTTCAGGGACTGGCAGATGTGACCCTCCTCCTGGGGATGTTTTATTTCTTTCTTTCTTTACATTTTTGTGGAGAAGGAATAACATTTCAGGATTTCTTGGAGTTGCCTGAACACACATGCTCACCCGTGGACACCAGAGCCCATACATGTGCTAGACATAGCCTGTGCAGGGCAGAATCTGCTCGCTTTACTCACACCACAGCTTTAAAGGACTCAATCCAAACTTCTCCAAAGCATTAAACTCCCTTATCACACTGCCTCTGGGAAAGGCAGGCAGATAAGGTGAGTCTGGTTTCTCTCACGGTCAGGCCTCTGACACCCGGCTCCTGGCAGCGGCTCCTGAGGGACTTTGCTGCTAGGCCATAGGCACCCAGAGGCTCAAGCTTAACAGAGTATGACTTTCCAGGTAATAACTCTGAGCCAGACTCCTGGGCCTGGGTCTGAATCTGGGATTGACCTCAGGCTGCCATCCTCCATCTCAGGCCCCCCAGCTGGCTCCTGGCTCCCTTTTCCCTGCCAGAAAAGAGCAATGGCTCTTAACACTTTTGTGAATGAGGTTGTCTGAGCACAAACTATCCAGCCTGCTCAGTGTGTGGGGCCCAACAAAGCTAGGACAATCTCCCTTGGTTTAGATACAGGAAAACTGAGGCCCAGCTGAGAGGAAATGCCCCTGAAGCACTTCCTGTCTGCTCAGGGATTTCAGGGCTTCTGCACACTCCTTCCTGATTTCTCCCATCGTGTCACTCTCCTTCTCCTCCTCCTCCAGGGCTTCCCTGACCATTCCTCTGCCATCCATTCCATGTAGTCCTATGCTGTAGCAAGGTCAAGGTTTGTGAGCTCAGAAGTGGATTACGCAATCAAGCCTTTTGCACTGAGTTCAGGCACATTTATATGCTGAGAACAACCCAACTCCAATTCCTATAATCTCCAGTGAAATGGTCTCAAAAGCTCACTGCTTGCTGGGATGGGGATCGGGGGGAGCACCAGCATCCATGAGGCCATACCACAAACCAAGTAGCACAGCCACCCTGGCTTGTGAGTGCAAGATGAGACCCTTCCACTCAGACCCCTGCCACAGACAGCACCCAGCTGTGTCTTGGTCCGTCATCCACACTCCAGTTTGTGATCAAACACTCCATCCCGGGTCTCTTGCTAGTCACAGAGCGTGAGCCAGAACACACACATGACTCCACACAGCCCCTCTCACTAGCAGAAAAGCTGGCTCGGAGCCTATGCTGGTGCTTCTGCCACAGTGGACTGACCAGTGTTTCTGGGGTCAAACGGGGGAAAGTGCCTCAGGCCCAGCCCACCTGGGGCTCAAGGGTGGCGCACCCTCTGGTCTAACTGGAAATGGCTCATCCTCTACCCAGGACACTCAGCTGCACCTACTGCTCACAGCCCCTGGGGCCTTTCTGCAGTCCACATTCTATTCCCCAACTGGGTCTCCATTCTCAACCACAACAGGCTGCAGCCTCCCTGCTGACCTCCAACCTCTTCTTCCAGATGGGTTCCCCTCTCTGGATTTCTAAGTTGACAGTCTGGAATCTCCTCACCTCTGTCAGTTCTCTGGTCTGATTTTTGCTTTCCTTCAAACTCTTCTGCATCTGCACAGGCTCCTTCTCTATAATTGCACGCAAGACCATGCCCACTCTATGACTTGGACTGCCACCAGTGCCCAGACTGCCCCTAACCTGGAGCCCTGCCTACTCTCTGAACCACTGGACCCATGAATCTATCTGCCCTGGAATAGCTTTATCGGGGTGCCTCACAGCACCCTTGCGATCAGCCAGATCTGTGACCCAGTAGTTCCTCAAAGGACAGCTCCTGTCTCTGCCTTCATTCTCAAGTCCAAAACTCCCCCGCCCGCTGATTCTCCCTCCAAAACCACCCTCCTAACCAAGAGGGATTGTTTGCCCGTGAATAATGGCAAACTCCCATTGAAAAAAGTCACAACGGGAATGAATTATATATATCATATTTATATATGTTGATATATATATACATCAACATATGTATGTGATCCTGAGATTATTTTTCTTAAAACACAGACAGTTGTTTCCATAAGAAGACAAGCAGCAAAAGTGTGTTAAAATAAAACCTCAGAGACCAACCAATGACACAGCTTATTAGGCACATACGAGCTCACCGTGACAATTTTTCACCATTCTATAGACACTTCACCCAAGGCACTGGGATACCAGGGGTTCCGTCCCGGGACAAAGCCCAACTCCTCTGTCCAACATCTAGGGCCTTCATAACTCACCCCTCCACTTGCACACCTGGAGGCTCCACCCCAGCCAGTGGGGGCTTTTGGCTGTTCTGACGCTGCATACACAGCCCCCACCCACTGCCTCTGCACCAGGTGCTGCAAGCCCTGTGTCTCCAGCACAAAGCCCTCCTGGGGAAGAGACTACCTCGTTTGGAGCAGAACATCTGTTGCTCCCACTGTCCGCACTGCTCAGTTTGAGGCCATCTCTACCCTGGCTGACACCTCTAGAGAAGGTCTTCTCTGATCCCCATCCCTGGGGAGCTCTGAGGTGCAGCCCCACCTGGCAGCAGCCTGAGAGACTGCCTAAAGGAGGTGCCACCTTGCACACTACTCAGACTCAGGCCCTGGACCCGCAGCTCCAGAGCACATAGCTGGTCAAGATAAAGGATGCCCCCCTAAGGGCCAGTGCACACACCATAGAAACGTTGTAACTCCCACTATGGGAGGCCCATACTCAGAGACAGTGACTGGTCCACACCGGCCTCTGGCCAGTCGCTGACCCCAGAAATCTAGATACTATTAAATGACCCTTTCTCTACCTTCACAGTAAGGGATTTGCCCCCCTGTAATGTGCGTTCTCAAAAATAGCTGCCGAGCAGCCTGGACCAGACTACAACCCTCACCTCCCCACCCCCAACACACACAAACACATTTACATACAGAGGCTTGAGTTCCCAATAGGGTTAATCTATAACCTGAGCAGTCAGGCCTCGGTGAAGCGGCAACGTCAGGCCTATGACTGGAAATGTAAGGGGCTGGTAAAGGGAGCTGACCTTTCCAACACAGAGGAGGCCCCAGGCGGTACTGAACCTTCAGGTGCTGTACCTCAGCCTTCAAACTCTTAATGCCATGGGACAGAGGGGAGAAGGAGACAGAACGCAAAGCAAACAGGGCCTCACTCCAAAGAAGGGAGGGGGTGCAAGACAGGTGCAAGGGGCAGGCTAAGCAGTGTTTCTCCTGCCCTTTCCAACTCTCAAGTTGTGATGGGATCCCCATTACCAAGTCCCAGCAGCAGGTGGAGTCATAGCCCCCAGACCAGAGGATGGTCGCAAGCGCACGTACTCAGGATGGAGAGGCCGCACCAAAGCACAGAACCCCACCCCACCCCCCCAGTTCAATAGCACATGCACCTACGCAGGTATGCAGTCCTCCCCAAACTCACCTGGCTGCGGCCGGACAGCGAGAAAGTGGCGTGGCTAGCGAAGCGTGCGGTGCCCAGGCGAGGTGCGCGGTCCGAAACCCCTGCTGCGGGCGGGGGGCTGGGTGTGCCGGGTGCAGGGGACAGCCCGGTCGCCAAGCCCAGCGCCTCCACCTGGCGCGTCAAGCGTTCGAGCTGCGCCTGCAGCCGCTGGTTGTCCTGCTGGAGCTCGGCCACGGTGCGCGCCAGGGGGCCGGCCAGGCGAAGCGCCTCGGCCACCCGCCGCTCCACGCCGCGCTGCAGCCCCTGCATGTCCTCGTGCAGCGCGCGCACCGCACCTTCCAGCGCCGCCTCATAGCGGCCCAGCGCATCGCGCACAGAGCGCGCCTCCTCGGCGTCCTGGGTAGGTTCCATGGCCAAGCCGAGCAGGGCGCGCCGATCCGAAACCCACCAGAGACGAGAAGGGATCCGACCTCTCCAGCTCAGTGCCGCGACTGACCGTCCCCCCTGGGTTTAGTCCAAGGGGCAGCTGGAGGGGCGGGCGCAGGGCGGGGCGGGCCCTGAGAGCCCTGGGACTGGGCGCGAGAGGGGGGCGGGACCTTGGGGGGCGGGACCCGACTCGCGACAGGATACCCGACCTGCTACCGGGATACCCTACCCTGGAGTCCCGCGGCGGTGATGCGTGGGTCCGCGAGGCGCAAATGAAGACCTTGCCCTCCTCCTTTTCAAGGGTTCAGGGTGCGTAGCGGAGAGAGAAGTGCAGAGTCCGAGACCCTGTTGACTCCGGAGGAGTGGCGTACCGTGTTGGGGAGGGGCTGTGGGCTCACCGGAAGAAGTCCCGGGCTCTCAAGTGGACATTACTTTGGGTACCACAGCCGAGGATTGTGCGTTTCCACAGGGTTCTCACCTGCAGGACATAGGTTCTATTGGGAGTGAAGATTTTAGCTCTCACTGGGTGATATGAGAGCAGTAGCAACTACCCTCAGTACCCTCACCCTGTACCTGTCACCACCGGTTTCTCACATGCACATACTCACCTGAGAGACCCTCGCCTGAAAATTCTTTCACCTGTTGTAAGACCTAAGAAGGAGACAGACAGGTGGTAAAGTCTCTGCAACTGAGCCCTTTCTACCAGTGGTAAGTAAAGGGTCCAGGCTCACCAAAAAACCTCTGCCCTGTTAGGGGATCGAGGAGAAGCTGACAGCAGATGGAGAGGACAGCAGATGGAGGGTGTACTTAGGGCTGAATCTCCAAATCCCACCATGGGCAGCTTTGGGACTAAGCACATGCCTCCCCCATGAGCTCAGTCACTGGCCTCTACCCGCAGGTAGGATTCCCAGCCTCCATTCTCTTCAAGGGTCCTATCATTCCTGATCCTAGATGGTCCATCCCTTCTAAACACACACACAAAACCTGCAACCATTACAAGACAAAGGAAAGGTGAGACAGCTATTGCTTCAGGATGACAGGATGATGGACATTGTAAAACTGATTATAAATAAAAATGAGAACATCCCATCCTTTGTGCAAAAGGAATTTCCTAATTAGCCTTCTTTTTCCTGGATCTGGGCTCTGCCTGAAAGAGTCTGGGAGCCTGGACAGGCACAGCCAGATGGCCCACAGGAAGAAGAAGGCTGAAAAGTTTGTTCCCACAGTAGTGTTCAACTTCCAAGGTTGTTTGGAGCTCACAGACCCTCCTAGACTGGCTTTCCCTGCTCTGAAGGAGCTGGATCAGCCTAACAGATGCTAACTGCTGATCCCGCCCCCCAGTGGGGACAGGAAGGAACACTGGGTTACCTAATCCAAGGAGCCTTCCAGCAATTATTTCATGAGAAAGTCAAGTGCCAAAAGGCGTGCATGTTGCATGTCTGTGAGTATGTGTTCCAAGTAGCCGTCTGGACAGGGTGAGCCAAACCGCTCCCCACATTCTTTCTCCGGGTGGAATCTTTGGTAGAGACCTTGAAAGAGGCCTCTACAGCAGCTCTTTCCCCCAGACAGTGCTTATAGCCCCTACAGGTCTGAGCACTGAAGCCTGGAGAATCAAACCCAAGTTTCAGTCAGAGAAGCCCAGTCTCTTGCCTTGAGGGACCCAAGAAGGAGAAGAAATGTTAGAAGGATCCATGGCCCCCAACTACCTGGACACGCACCTGGACATGTACCTGGACCAGCAGCATGGGATGGGGAGATGCAGGGTGAGCAGGGTCCCAGCCTTATCTCCCACCCTCCAGGAGAAGGTGACTGGCTGGGTCTCTGGGGTGGGAACCCTATAGGAAAGAGGTGGTAACAGATTGTAGTGATTTACCCAGGATCCCTCCAAACTCTCCACCCTCAGGTGAGTTACATGGTCCCTCCTGGACTACTGTGAGAATATCTAGGAGTTGCTACTTGGGGCAGGGCAGGGCTCCTTCTGCAGCTGAAGTAGAGAGTCAGTCAAGGGCAGAGATGAAGGCTCATTGTTGGTTCTAGGAAAGCAGATGGTACAAGATTCAAAGCACCCCTGCAGCTCCCTTCCCTTCATAGTCAGACCACTGAGTCAGTAGCTGGAGGGGAGCCTAGAGAAAAGAGATACCAAGAAGAGGGTCTGAGTGAGAGGAAGGAAGAGCGGGAGATGGGAATTTTGGAGTGGGAAGGGGGTTGGATGAGGACCTGCACCATCCTATGGATTGGCTCCAAAGCAGATGAGGGAGAACACAGCTCTGCTCCCAGGCCTGGCTCTTCTCAGCCCCTCCCTGAAGGCCCCCACCCCCATGCTCCTCCAGCTGCTTCTGCCCAGCACCAGGCTGTGAGGGAGGTGCCGACTGGTGGAGCTGGCTGAACTCCTCCAAATTCACCAGCCCTGATGTCAGAGCAAGTGCAGGCCGACCGCACACCAAGTCCTGGGGCGGTCTGGCGCCTGCTCTTCCAGCTCCCCCTCACCTACCTCTGACCCCATGGCTGCCTGCCAGCCCCTCACTCAGCTCAGGGTCAAGGCTCAAAGCAGGATGAGGGCAAACCTTCCCAAGACCCCTACCAGTCTCCTCACAAAATCAAATCCTTGCCAACCCAAAGCTACAAGGTTAGGGAAATTCGAATCAGAGGCCTGGCATGAAAAAGCTGAGGCCCTGAGGTGGTATTCAGCAGGGTATGTAACAGCAGAACTGGATCCCAGAACCCTGCCCCAGATATGAAGTACTTCTTTTTTCTGCATGGTAGTCCCAGCTCTCCTCTTGGCACAGCAGTCAGATCTAGCCAATTTAAATCAGTCCTCTCGCACCTGCACATCCATGTTTATTGCGGCACTATTCACAATAGCCAAGTTATGGAAACAGCCAAGATGCCCCACCACTGACGAATAGATTAAGAAAA